GCAAAACCTTCTTAGTAGTTACTACGTTTGTATCTATTGCTATATATTTGATTTAAGAGTAAAAAATAACTCCTAATTATTACAAAAAGCTATCCATCCCAACGGGAACTTTAAAGTTTGAATATTTCTTGTTCAAATCAGAGACATATATTGTATTATATGTCTCTGTTCAAATGAAATAATTATATGACACCTTCGTGTATGGTCTGTGGTTTTGTTGAAACTGAAACATTCAAATGTAGATATAACTAAAGTTAAAACTTCTCAACAGAGAATGATTTTGGTATTTTTACTTAATAAATATCTGAAGACATCAAAATGTAATCAATGTCGAAGTCACATCTGCTCATGTTCAATACGAGTTGACATTGAAAGCATATTTTTTGCATATAGACAGAACTCGGATTCGTCCGTTTTTACGGTTATTACATAATAAAGTAAATATACAGTTGTTCTGTGGGAGCCAATGCTCCATGTTGAAGACCGTACTTTCACCTATAATGGTTTACTTTTATAAATTTTGAATTGGATCGAGAGTTCTGTCATTGGCACTCATACCACATCTTCTTACATCTAGTTACTTTGTAACAGGTTTTAAGGAGTTGCTACCTGTAATGACAAATGGTAGTCTGTTTATCTCTATTTTCCTATGTCGTTGTTTATGTTTATATCTAAAACATTATGTGTGCTGTTAGTTTCTAGACAATTTTCCACATCACTCTACTGTTCTTGGATAGGGAATTATTAGTCTGTAAGATAAAAGGAAAATTTTGTATATTAGCGATAGAGTAAACTAAACACACACGTACTCATGAAAACTTTGTCGTTTTGCTGATATATCAATTTCCATAAATAATCACATTTCTATTTTAACCATACGCTAACGAGTCTCAATGCAAAAAATATCGGGTTATCGGGTGCATTATAATTTGCAGCAGACCTTGGTTTAAACTATGGTGTCCTTGGTTAAAACTATGGTGAAGGTCTTCAAAAGCTCACTCTTTCACAAATCTCATTCATAAACCAAATGGTTCAAATAGAGACGTAAACAACTGATAAAAGAAATCATATGTTCAATGTTTTAGAATTTAAATATTTGTTCACAGGTGGGAAATTGTCATCCATGGTGGTATTGATGGTTACAGTAGAATGGTAACATTCTTAAAAGCAAGCAATAACAACAGATCAATAACAGTTTTTAATGAATTTATCAAGGCAACCACAAAATACGGCATTCCATCAAGGGTACGGGTAGACAAGGGCATTGAAAACAATGACGTATGCATATTCATGGAAGATCTAAGAGGCAACGGAAGGGGCAGTGCTATAAGAGGCAAAAGCTCCCACAATCAGAGAATAGAACGTTTGTGGGTCGACGTATGGGAGAATGTTAGTAATGAGTACTACGACCTGTTTACATACATGGAGCACAACAATATACTAGATATAACTGAAGAAGTACACATGCTTTGCTTTCTCTTTGTTTTTATTCCACGATTAAATGAAAGCCTAGTTATGTTTAACTATCAGTACAATAATCACCCACTATCAACTGAAAGTCACAAAACACCAAGTCAGCTATTCATAACAGGTGTTCTGACGAAGTTCAATTCAGGAAATAAACCAATAAAAGAAGTTGTCGAAAATGCTGGAAATCATGACGAATTTCAGAACTCTTTACCTCCAGAAGACTATGGAGTTGGCGATTCGGATGATGGGGATGTCGCCATTATTAGTGAAGATGAAGACATACAGACAATTCCTCAACGGACACATGAAAACCATCTTCTTTCAAGATTGGATGCAGCAATCAACCCACTAGAAAACGTTAGTAATGTGGAATATGGGCTTTAAACTATTTAGGAAAGCATTAAGCATTGTTACCACAGAAGAAAATTAAACTTTTTTTCAGCTTAAATTGAGAGATTATCATTATTTATAGATTGTTCAGTTTAATGTCTGTTACTTTTCTTTCTTTGCTAGTATAATGAGGTCACAACATTGCAACCTCGTATCTTCATATGATAACAAAATCTTGCTATGACTTTGCTAATAAAACATTGTAAACAGCATGTAGAATTACATAATGTCTTTATTAATTGGCATACATTTCAAATACAGTTATACATTATGTGTGCATAGTTCTTAGACACTAATAACTCTATAAAATTCTCACACTTTCTGGTTTGAGTTTTTTTTACATTTATATCTCATAAATTGTATATCCTTCAGCAATTTATTTTGGCAACATACTTTCAAAAACTACTGAGGCAACATCGTAGATAAATATGCAATAACAAGTTGTAACAAAGGGAATTACAGATCTTAAATGACCTGTGGCATATTGTTATAGTGTTTTAAAATATATTGGACCTCAAACTCATACCAGTAATCAAAATAAAAAATCAGGCAAAAAGTGTCAATTAATATTTTATACAAGAGCTGTTAAAATGAAAGTTAACTGTTTGGTTTTATCTGCTTGTGTGTCATGTCATCTTTCAAGAATCATAACTCCTCAATTATAAAGTGTCTAACTATTGATAATTAAGTCTTTCCAGTTCCCTGTGGAAAGACTTATTGTATTTTTTCTGCTTATCATTATTACTAATTTTTTTTCTTCCGCTTAACTTTGTTTTGCGTAAATTTTTGTTTCGCAATATGTCGCTAAGATATTTCTTATATAGTATCATACAGTTTATGCACTTTTTATTTTCACCCATTCTAAGCCAAACAATTTTCTTTAAAAGAGTTATCTCCCTATTCACTGTTTATTACATGTGTGCATCTCCTTCGTAACAAAAAAAGATATCGACAAAATTCTTTTTCTTAATTGTTCGTTACATCCTCAGGAATATTTGGCTAATTTGGAAACTTGAAACTTTTTATTTCACTAAAGGCCTCACATGAGGCATTATAGTACAATAAATTTACCAACAAATATAATTAATGCATGAACAAACATATATACATATGAAGTTGATGTAATTGCAGCTGGAAGTTGAACATTACAAATATGATTATTTGAATACAGACATAACAATTTTGCAAAATTTTGACAGGCCTATAAGTGTATATTTATCGTGACTATTCATTAAGTCAAACAGGCTAATAATGTTACTGTTGCTATAGATATGAAGAGGTATAAATTTCTGTCTTTCAGCACTAAAAAAGTTACAATTAAATATTTAATGAAACTCATCACCTAGTTGTTCCTTATCACATATATCACAAATTCTTTCAGATCTATCAATAGAAAAAAATCTACCAGCCTCAATTGGCAACTTGTGACTTCCACATCTAAATTTTATAATATTATACATCAAATCAGTTGGGAGAACAGAGAGATATTTCTCAAAACCAAATTCAGTCTTATAAATTCTATAATTGATACACTTAGGCGAGTTAAAAATTTGTGCTTTCCAATTTTCAACAAATTTTTCATGAAGAAACTGTTTAACTTGTCTTGACAGAATAACATTTCTTTCTACAGTTTGGTTATTCCAACAATGATTATAACCACATTCAAGTAAAATTTCTTTGATACATGATAACCATTTAGAGTGATACATCACCTTTGTAAAGTCTATATAACATATCACATAACGTGCAAGATATTTTCTCTTTTTTACCATTTAAAATACGTTGCCAAAAACCAACCATTCTGGCTTTAATACAAATAGACATAGGTACTCTACCAAGCTCTCCATAAACAATACAAGTTGGAGTACATTTTTTAATCTTCAAAATATACTTGCAAAGATTCAATAATATCATTGTTTTCGTAACCCCACACTTCAGCACAATATAACAATATAGGTGCAACCATTGCATCAAAACAATTGTAACAAAATATCGATTGGTAAACAAAGTTTTCTCGCTTTACACAATACATAAAACATGGCATTCCTAGCCTGTTGGACTAGTCGAGCTATATTTTTTGAAAATGTACCTTTTCTTGAAAAAACTGTACCCAGATATTGAAAATCTTCTATAACAGCTATTTTTCATTATTATATAAAAACTGAGTATTCTCACACTGCCTATTTTTTGAAAATATAACAACATTGGTCTTAGCTACATTGACTTTGAGTTTCCAGGTTTCACAATACAAAAACATAGCATTTAGTGCAGATTGCAATTCAGCAGCAGATTCTGCAAAAATAACAGTATCATCTGCATATAGTAACAAATACAATTTAAAGTAAATTTCAATATCATCATTATCAAACAGCAAGTGAGAAATATTACATACATCATTAAGACCATCATAGGCATGTGATAAGAACTTTGTCAGATCATTAAGAAAAATTGAGAATAAAAAAGGAGAGAGGTTTTCTCCTTGTCTCACACCTACATTTGAAGCAAAATATTCAGAGAAATTATTACCTTCTCTTACACATGATTTTGCATTTTCATACAGATTCTGTACAACAATAAGCATTTTACCATCAATACCATTTCGTAACAATTTTTGCCATAGTTAAACTCTACTAACTGAGTCAAATGCTTTTTGAAAATCTACAAAAGCGCAGTATAATTTTTTCCTTCTAAATAAGTATAGATCAATTAGACATTTCAAATTAATTGGATCGAAGCGATTCGATGAAATTTTATAGGAGTTATCTACCTTTATCAAATAAATTTGTTGGTATGTTTTTTTAACTCATAAACAATTAACCGTATAACCCTAGAATGTTTTTATTTGAGGCCACTAGGTCAATTCGGATCTAATCGATTTCGATGAAATGATATAGGAGTTATCTACCTTTATCAAATAAATTTGTTGGTATGTTTTTTTTAACTCATAGACAATTAACCGTATAACACTTTTAAAGATATAAAGTATAAGTGCAAAATGTTTGCTGAATTGTAATAAAGATATGCTACATTTGGTCTGAAACAATCTAATGGCATCTTATAGGAGTTAGTGCCCCTGAAATGTCTAATTATTAGTTTTAGTGATTATTACTTCAACTTGGTTCATTTCATAGCAATTTGACAAAAGGTTGGGTGACATATGACCTTGAAAAATGATAACCGGAAGTGACCTTCAGAAACCCAGAAGTAGCCATTTTTTGCACTTTTTACATGGAAAAGTACTCGAAATCCATGGATTTTGTAATTTATATAAATTAACTTATCACAAAAGACTATAAGTGACTTTCCATCAACCGGAAGTGGCCAACTATCTCCTGGCTAACAAGCAAAAGTATAAAAAAACTTTATATTTTTGGAATCAGTATGAAAGAAGCTATCATATGAATATGAGACCGAAAGTGCATTTACTTCACCAGAAGAAGCATTTTATATCCCTTATTTCACTCAAAAGTATATAGAAACTATTTATTTATCTCATCAGTATGAAGTAACTTATAATTGGGTGCTAATTTTAACTTTGAGTAAACCGGAACTAGCTTCTTTTCAATATCTTTGAAAATTGATGTGAAAAGACTTTCAATTGTTCTCTAAACAATTGGTTTTTAATTTCTATATATATTTGTTCAGAAACCTCTGGGATTGTGCTTCAAAGTTACACAAAAAGTGTTAAAGATGTTCGCTACTCAATTTTTAAATAACAAGCTTGATAAGACTGTAAAAAATAGATAGAACTTCACAAACTAGAAATGCAGAAAAAATTTATTGGTCAGTTTGCTTATTATTGAGATTTCAGACATTGATTTTTTTTTATGGAAACAGTTTTCTACAGATCAAGTATATTTTGTGCAAAATCTAAGCTCAAATGGGCATACATTCTAGAAAATGATTGAATCATAATATACAATTGACATTCACACTGATGGACAGGTCAAAAACATTAAACCTTTCACAATTTTGTCAATAAGTTTATAATGAACAAGAAAGACAAAAACTATTCTTTTGTAAATGTTTGACTGTTGATAATCAACTCAGTATAGTAGGAAACTGCATCTTCTGATGATAGGTCTGGTTGTGTCTTTAAAGTTAAAGCAAGGGCACATGTATTTACAAAAGTACTGTCTGCAAAATCGACATCAATCAATTTGTGGAATCCAATGGCTGGTATTATTGTTGATCCCGTTAACCACATCATGACATCTTTCAGTTCAAGTTTTATACCATTTATTTCAGTTGCTCTTCCTAAAAAAGAAAATTATACATTGTACTTCTACCTATATAACTTTTTGTGATTGATGGATATCTGCATGTTTTTAATTTCTTAGTCCCCTTAATTATTCTGTTTAATTTATGTATGACTCTACACACAATAATTAAATAAAAATTCTATAAATACAATTATTTTGTATCAACGGCACTGATTGGATGACAGTAAGCGTAAAATTCTTAATCTCCCTGACTGTAACTAAGGAAGCTGACATTTTGAATTACAGAATGTATTGACATTTTCCCCAAAAAAATCGGAACAAAAAATTTACATTTTCCACCTAGAAAACCTTATTTCATCAAATTTTATTTCATTCTGAGGCGACCAAGCAGCCAGAAAAATGCCAAGCATTAATGTTTGATGCCGGAAGCATATCTATGAGGTCACCTAGATAGGGGCCAATGAAGATCCTTTCACAAAACTTATTTTCTTAATGAAAAGTTTACAGTGAAAAAATGACTAAAATTAAATTATCTATGTATTTAGCATTAGAAGAGAGATAACTGTATTGTATTTGAATTTTTATGTACATCCAGCATGGGTTCTATGATATTTACTATTGATTAGAGTTTTCATGTTCATATCCTTTACTTTATATCACACAATCTTGAATAAATAAACTGTTTAGAAAACAAAAGGCAATCTATATTATATATAAACAATTATATATTTCAGGGCATAAACAGTAGAAACATTAATCACACATTACTTGATCAGATAATGGTTAAAACATCAAATTTACACTTTAAATACGAGTTAAAATTCTTATTGAATAAAACCATCAATGGACAAACTGATTTAAATATTTCAAATTGTATGTATAGGAAAAATATAGTGACACAAACTTAGCCAATTTTGTTTAAATTTTTATTTTCTCACTTTTTCAGTGAAGTATGATCATCAACAGACAAATAAAGTAACAGTGGTTAAAAGAATTTTCAAGCATATTTCTTTTGATTACAATGTGAATAAAAAAGGGTCTCTTAAACATTTTTGCTTAGTTTGGTTTTATTTCATCCGACAATCATTTAATTATATATTTTGTAAAGAGATTAAAAATGTGAACAGCAAACATCAGAAGCAAAGGAATTCATCTAGCACAATATAACATGATTTTATTTCATATAATTGCATATTATTTGATTTCTTAAAACATTTTGATTTAAATAATGTTTTATAAAATTGAGGAACAGAGACACTTACAAGTTTATATTACAAAACTAAAGAGGAAATGAAAAGTCCTGACAAATATACAAACCCTTGGTGGCTTGAAGGAATGTCAAGAAACCTATCCCAGTGGCCCTCTGGTCCGGATTAGCATTTCCCTCTGCATATTTAAATTTTAGAAGTTTTCTAAATTTTCCAACTGTGATGGGTTTTACCCTCCCACTGAACAGGGGTCTTGCAGAAGCCCTGTTTTCTGGCTGTCGAAGAAGGCTCATGACTTGATGAGTATCTAAACCTATACAAATATAAAAAAAAACTTTAATATTCAAATTCCTGTAGTTTTGATATCAATTAACATTTGATGTTTGATTTTTGGTGTTTTTACGCCACTTTTAAGCACCACTTTTGGGCTATTTCGTGGCGGTCAGTTTTTATTGGTGGAGTAGGCCGGAGTGCCCGGAGAAAACCACCGACCTTCGATAGGAAAACTGACAATCCTAGTCAATTAAGATTGGAGTCGAGTGCACCCACACGAGCGGGGTTCGAACTCACAACCTCAGTGTTGACTGGCTAGTGATTACAGTAGTTACTACTTAGACCACTCGGCCACCGAGGCCCCTTATATCAACTAACAAATACCATGACTGTACCTGCTATTCTTCATGCAATTGAGTTCTGAAGCATAACTGATAAAGATAACTTGAAAATGGTACTTCAATTGAGGCAATGTTTTGTTTTATAGCATGATGGGTGCTGTATAGGGTGCAGGAAATCCTACCCTTTATGGTGCACCTGATTTCACTCTCAGTTTTTAATGGAGTTTGTGTTGTTTCTTATTTATTTTAACTGATGTAAATGTCTTTTTGTTTTATGAGTCTTTGTTAACTCCTTGGTTTTGATTGTTATTGTCTTGAAGGTTTTACTACAAGTATCGCATTAGTTCAACAAAATTAGAAAATTGATTTTGATCAAATACAAATCTAATTAAATTCTTTGTGACTATATATTTAGAATACATAACTGATTTCCCATTATTCTAATATCATAGTTTGTTTATCAAAATATCTTCAATTAAAACTCTTCATGAACATGGCACTATTTTGACCGATTCACCATAAAAATGAAGTCAAGGAAATGTGACAAAACTTATATGTTCCAAATAATGCCTGATGCTATCTGTAAATCTATTTATAGATTAACCAACCTTCAATAAACTGGTTTAGCTCATCTTTGCAGCTGGAAATCTGACTTTCGATAAAAGCTGCTTGCAGTGGTTTTACATGTTTTTTAGTAAAGGATGTTATTGGTACTATAAACCCAATATCTGTAGCAATATCCATAATGGATGAATATGCTTCTTTTGCATCTCGATCAGACGCACTATTCTGCATCTTAAAGCAACGAAATAAATAGATCAGTATACATGACATTATCATCTGCTGTTTTTGTATATAATCAGCAACATATTAAAAATTCGCAACATAAAAAGAAGAATATATTATCTCTTTAAAGTTATATGGTCCCTTCAATATAATTTTTCTACATTCAGTGAACCATGAAAACTTGGGTATTATATAAAATATTATAAATCACCGCTGATTTTGAAAATTTATGAGCCTCTGTGAATCAATATTAATATATTTAACAGAAGGACTTAGGTTAGAATTTTCACTTATGAATTTCCTTCTAACTGTTTACTTAAGGGTTTTTCCAGAATTAATTGTATGGGAGGAAGGATGGCCCTTTATTAAAATTTGATGGGTGGTGGCTATTCAAGAAAGATTGCTTGAACATTGAAATGAAATATCCAATTTAAAATGTATGCATGGTGGGTGTTAAATAAAAAGTGCCTTCCTAGTTTAATCCAAGCCCCTTCTAAAATAAAATGGTTGCTTCATACACTTTTCATTGTATTATCTTTTTAAAATATTATCTTTTTAAAATAATAAAATGCTTTGCAGAGTGCAGCCTGATATGACTGGAGTTCGAACCATGATCAGTTGGTGCAAATTTGGATGCAATATTCAACCTTGATACTGTCTAAATTTGTTTTGTCATAAAATTTTGGACATAATAAAGGTTTCTGACACAAAATAAATGATGTGAAAGATCATCAAAAAATTAAAATAAGTGAAAATATTTGTACTACTTTCAAATGAAGATGTGTTGCTATTGCACAAAACTGTGATATTGTGCAATATAGTCATTCACAAATACTTACTTTCTCCAGTGCATCTTTCAGTCCATCAGGTAGATCATCAGGATTTATCACAGAGGTTTGCCCATTTATAATGTAGTCAGTTACAATATCTGAAAAAATGGGCAAACCAGGACCGTCTTGAATTATTGACAGGGCTATCAGCTGACCAAGGTGAAAAAATGTTTTCTTTTTCTTTTCCAGGTAATTAGATTGGAATGTTTGTCTTCCAGGTTTTCCTGAAAAAAGAATACCAATCTTCTTAATAAATTCAAAAAAAAAAAGATGAGTGTACAAATTTTAGTTTGTTGTATGATAAACATAAATAATATTAACTTTTTTTTAACTAAGTTTCATAACATTTTGTTTAAGCAAAGTAAAGTTAGAGAGCGGAAACCAACTTTTTTTTGTTTTTTTTTATGATTGAATAGTTAAAATCATGTCTGAGGTTGTATATTGTATTCATAGTGCATTTCCTGATATTTGATGTATTCTCTAGATCATGAGAGGTAATGAAAATCTTTTTAAGTCTTGATTTAGACAACAGTTCTTATATTCTGTGGGACATTTAAGCTCATGTTAAATAAAAGTACTTAGTAGTAGTATTTTATACATTCAGGTATTTAAAATGTCATTAAATCTCCATTTTTAACTAAACAATAACATTACCTGTTACATAACATGAATGACTAATGTTATGAAGCAAAAGGCTCCAAAACTCTCTTCTAAGACCACCTAAGTCTGCATCTTCTTCATCTACAAATTGTATACTCAAGGGACTATGTAGGTCATCTCCTGAGAATCTGATGATGGTGATGGAGTCCACCAATACATAACCCCTTCGAACCTCTATCAGCAATGGATCCTCTTCTGATGTAGATTTTATGAACAGTTCCCTATGTTCAACCAGAACATCTTTCAACCCATCAGCAGAGGGATTTTGTCTGTGTAAAGGATATAAATGCTAACCATAAATAACATTGTCTCCCAACAAATATATAACATCTTTTCAATTCAATATTTTTTTCATAAATTACTTTGATATCAAACAATAAATGTACTAGGTTTGAGATGTCTTACAATGTTAAACTATATAGATAAATGAAAATAGCAAAAATAAAGGTTGCGAAAATTTATTTATATGTTCTGTACTTTCTAAAAGCTAAAGCGTTTAGTAAATGATTTTCTTCTATTCCTGTCAGCAGGTCAATAATGGTATAGGTTAGTGTTACCAACATAAATGCTCAAAGGGTATTGTACACATAAGGGTATTGTACAGATGTATTTTATAAAATGACTGTCGGGTGTGTACCCTTATTATTCATTGTAAGGTACTCTATCAGGCAATTACCCTTACTTATTAGTGTCAAACTACATTAGAGTTGTAAATCACTCTTGATAATTTTTAACCTAATTAGTAAGTACATCAAAGGTTCGGTCATTTTTGTTACTATTCATCTGTAAAATTTAACAGAAGTGTGTATACCTGTGACAAATATCTTACTGTTACTGGTATTTTTTTTCAGTATCAGAATATATTCTTTAAATAAAATGTCAATTAAGTAAGACACTTGCTTCTCATTTTTATCTACAATTTCAGTATCTGCCAAAATATTTAACTGAAATTTTAGAATCCACCAAAATAAAAACCACCAAAAATTTTCTTGTACTTTGTTGCCTCTTTATCGAGAAATTTTACACTCATGAAAATAACCTGCTATTCTTACTAATTATTTTTTTTGAGAGCTGTTCCAAATTTCACTGTGTGGTAAAAAAAAATTAAAATGCATTTCATATAATTTTTTGTTATTATGGGTGGTTTGGATCTGAACAATTTACCCTAGAATTGCCCTGAGCAAAAATAATATGACAGAAAAATATATTCATGTAGCATTTTCTAATTTAACACTTTTTTACCCCAAAAAGATTCAGAGTTACATTTTAATGTATATTTAATTGAGTTTTGGTTGGTTTATAACAAAATAATAGAATATTACCCAACATCACCAAATGGTGCTGTTTCTGGTATATAGTCATTCAAACCATTGTCATTGGTTTCATTAACATGCAGTCCTCTGAAATAGAAAAAAAATATGTAATATGGAGCATAGTTTCCTATATGAAGATTGGAGAATTTATGTCTCAAGTTTGTTGACAAATGAACCTCAAGCACATTCTTTTCTCTATGAAAACCAGCTTATATAAATGTATGTTCAACAAGTGAATCTGTGAGCTGCTGCTCACTTGTGATACCACAACTTAAAGTAAACATTAAACAGAATGAGTAGGTGTCAGATAACACTGAAATCATACAACACAGTATATCTCACTCATTGTTATAATCTTTAATATTATTAATCGAATATTTTTAAGGATTTTTGATTCGTTAAAACTTGATCACATGTACATTTGTATTTGCTCAGTTTGCACGCCAATACTGTTGTGTTTAGATTTTCGTAGGTCAAAAACAGCATATTGCACAGGGCATACAGCATGTTACTAAAAATAGATTCTAGAAATCCCCAATTTTACATTGTTCATGCTATAGTTGTTGATTAATAATATAACAATTGTAGCCTTTGGTTGAGGTCAATACGATGTTATATCGACCGAGAGAAGCATATCGACCTCGGACTTCGTCCTCAGTCAATATGCTTCTCTTAGGTCGATATAACCTCGTATCGACCTCACACAAAGGCTATAATCGATAATATCAAATTTCAAAAAGCTTTGTAAAGTAGCTCATGAGAAACATTTTCACAATATTTTTTAACTTGGCTATTATGTGTATCACACTGCTTATCAATCTCTATATTTTTTGAATGATGATATTTAAATGTTTTACAACCTTTTTTTATAAACTCAAAACAATAAAGTTCAAAAGTATGGAAACAAGGGAAAAGCATTAATTAATTCAACATTTCATCGTATTCAGAGAATAAATATTCTTTGGCAGTGACGCTCTAAATTGCTTAAGTCAAAGTTATATACATTTCATGTTGTTATTTTACACTACTGTCTCAGATTGGGGTGAAGGTTGGTGTGCCTATGGAAATAGTTAGGAGCCTCTTGTTCAGTGGTTGTTGTTTGCTGATGTGGTTCATAGTTGTTTTTGTTTCTTGTTTTGTATATAGATTAGGTTTTCCTGTTTGAATTGTTTTACACTGATTATTAAGGGGCCTTTATAGCTTTCTATTCAGGTAAGCCAAGACTCCATGTTGAGGGCCATACTGACCTGGCTAGAATAGCTGAGTTAGTTACGATTGCTTAATGATAATGATGTAATCTTACAGAAATAGGAAATATTTAGTTTAAATATCATTACAATCAACATGAACAAGGAATTGTAAACAAATCTTGACAAGAATTTTTCATACTTGAAATGAACCTATTTGACACCAAAATAAAAGAAGAATTTGTCCATAGGACACATATGATGGCATGCTTTCATAAACATTTAAAAGAACATAAATCAAGAAATTTACTTATACAGTATTAATTATGACTGTAAGAACATACCTTGTTATGTCAATGATTTGTTGAGACCTGTTTGTTTGATTTGGAATTGATATGGAATGGGTATTCATCTGATCTACCATTAGTGGTGCTGATGTTCTAAATAAAACTGTTGGTGAGTCGCCAGTGGCAGTGCGATATCCTGCTGCAACCACTTCCTATTACAAATTGAGAAATTACAAGAAACCAATAACAAACTTTTTTTAAAATAGCATACTATTGGGTGGTTTTTTTTGCCTATATAGGTATCAACTACAAAATTATTTTACTAGTGTGACAATCTAAATGTCAAACTCTCAAACTAGGCAGTTGACTTAGTACCTGGAATAATATTCAAAATTATCATTTAATTTATTGTTATTAATTTCATATATGAATTATCTAAAGTATATCTCCCTCATCCTAAGATTTGTTATATATGTGGCAAAAGTTTTGTCCCTATGTTCTATTTTAGCCATGTCAGCCATGTTGGTTGGTAGGTGGGGTCATCAGACATATTTTTTTCAAACTTAATACCCTAAAGATGATTGTGACCAAGATTGGTTTAATTTGTCTCAGTTATTTCAGAGAAGATTTTGTAAAAGTTTACAAAAAAATGTTAAAAATCGACTATAAAGGCAACAAATCCCTAAGAGGTCAATTGACTATTTTGGTCTTGTTGACTTATTTGTAGATCTTACTTTGCTGAACATTATTTTGTTGAAAGTTTATCCCTATCTATAATAATATTCAAGATAACAAACAAAAACTGTAAAATTTCATTTAAATCACCAATTCAGGGGCAGCAACCCAACAATGGGTTGTCTGAATCATTTGAAAATTTGAGGGCAGATAGATCTGACCTGATGAATATCACTACCACATGCTAATTAGATATGCTCAAAAACTGCATTTATTAAGAAGAAAAGATTTACCTGTAAAATATGACCTAATAATAATCTTGCTAAATTAACACTTACTGGGGGTGTTTCTTCTGGTACATCAATGATGCTTGATTGATTCAACTCAGCATTATTTTCCTGCTCCTACAAAATTAGAATTACTCGTGTAGTGTAAATCAAAGTAAACACTATTTTAACCACCAAGGGTGACTTATTCAAAAATTTGTTGATATATTTCTTTTAAATCAATGTTTATCAATTTTTGTTAAAATAAATAAAAATAGTTCTGTATTTTTTTTTTATTCCTTTGCTTGTCAATAAAGGCATTAAAATTCAAACCTACCATATACATGATATATATCAAAACTATAAAGTGTTTGTGCTGACTGTCAATAACTTTCCGTTTTTTCTGCCAATGAGCAAAAAATTGGGATTGAAATACAGCAGCCAACAGGTCAACCCATCCTTTGGGTCAAGAAAGCCAAAAACATACCAGTGTACTTAATAAGTTATAATTTTCATTTGACCAGTAAACTGCAGAAAGACATTCTTTTTACTTTCCGAATTGTTTGGAATCTGCTATTCATTGACTTTATCCTGTTTATACCTGTGTTCCACTCCTGATTGCTGTACTTCTTCTAGGCCTTCTTGGTGTTGACAGTCTTCTCCTTCTTGGTGTTGATAATGTACTTCTTGTACCTGCTGAGTTATTTTGGGATACCTAAAAGAGATTCATCATTCAATCACCAGTATACTAGCAATTTTTTTTTTTAGAAGGTTCTATAAGTTAACTTTGCGAAAAATGCTCAATATACCTGTCCCTAGTATTAGGAGCTTGTAATTTTAGTGGTTGTTACAAGTTTTTTATAGTATTATACCAATAAAAAATAAACCAAATTTAACAGTGTAAGTCATTTATTAAGAAGAAAAGATTTACCTGTAAAATATGACCTAATAATAATCTTGCTAAATAAACACTTACTGGGGGTGTTTCTTCTGTTACATCAATGATGCTTGATTGATTTAACTCAGCATTATTTTCCGGCTCCTACAAAAGTAGAATTACTCGTGTAGTGTAAATCAAAAGTAAACACTATTTGTCTGACTACTTTAACCACCCAAGGCGACTTATTCCAAAATTTGGTGGTATATTATAATGCTGCCTCCCTGGTGTTAAGAGTTGGCCACCAGAGATCCCAGATTACATAGAAAAGGGATTTCTTAACTGGTATTATTATTTCTGTAGAATGTCAGGCCTGATGTCTAATTAGAATACCGTCGAACCAATACACTTTACAGCTTCATTTAACCTATGTTCTACAGGTCTATCTATTTTATATATGATTGAGAAATAAAAGTCATAGCATATAACAGTTTTGATTATTTATTTGACAATTAAAACCGCTGAGAGAATGGCTGTACAGGCTCTGTCACTGGTCTGGTTGGGTCCACGGCATATTTGGTCTATCTTATTTAATCTATATATTAATCATATATATAACTATCCAGTCACCTCTCTGTTAACTTTGACTAGTTTATAAACTACAGGTAGCGTATAGCTTGAACAGGCTTACAAATATGCCTTAAAAGGCCACATATAAAAGCATGTAGCCTTAATTTAACAACATATATTTCAAATAACTATCAGTATAAAACTACTTGCTATTATGGTCACAAAGACAACTATTCCATTAATACTTAAAATATTGGTAAAATTGCAATTTACACCCTAAATTGTCACCAAGTATTTACACCCAAATTAGTCAGGGACTATTTACACCTTGAGAAGTCACCAACTATTTACACCTAGCAAAGTCACAGACTACTTACAATGATACAAATCACCAACTATTTACACTTTAAATTCTCACCCAACCATTTACACCTAGGAAATGTCACCAACTTGCATCTATAATAAATCATTGTTAATATAGGTGCAATTTCCTTACTTTTCCTATCGTATTTAAATTCTAAGACATTTTAAATATTGCACTCTGTAACTTTCAAACAACAAATAATCACTGCCCTCCGTAGTTGATCTTTTTAGTTTTATTCCACAAACAGCCAATCACAGATGCTTTTACATATGTTGAACCAATCAGCAGCCTTCTTTCTGTTAAGGGAAATTCCCGAAATGTTAACTCAAAATGTAAACACTGGAAGTTTTGTGTAAATAAAGATGTTTTCCAGCTTAATTTCAATAAGAAACAACATATTTATTCACCCTGACGGTTTTTACACATACAGAATAACTTAAGAATACATTTAAAAGGTTAATATTTCAAATAAACAACAGAACTAAAGGTAAAAGCACTCCGTGGACAAACTTGCAAGTTTGTCACCGTGAATAAATTCCAGTCATAACATTGATCGCTTGAAACACGATAGAATTCAATCATGACAATTAATATTAGCACAATCAGCATATAATATAAACTCATTTTCATACATGTAGCATATAATCTCACAGATCTATCGGTATTATCATTTATACTTCATAACAACACAGCAAGATGTGTTCAAAAAGGGGGGTTCATGGCATAACACCATTTCTTTTAAATCAATTTTTATTAATCATCGTCAAGATAAATAAACTAGAGGCTCTCAAGAGCCTGTGTCGCTCACCTTGGTCTATATGCATATTCAACAGGGACACTCTCCAACATTGTAGACGAGAATAGAATTAATGACAAAAATCTCTGTTTTTTTGTATCTTATATTGCTGATCATTGAAGTCTGTTTAGTTTCTCTCTATCTTCATGATCTTATTTAGCTGTTGCTCTAAACACAAAAGAGGGTAAAAAAAACTCCTATAAAGATTAACAGTCTACTTATTATATCAGCAAAATTTGAGTTGTTAGTAGATCTCGTCTTGCTTATCATTTTTGATTATTTAAGTTTATATCTATCTATTATAATTAATATCATACAAGGAAAAACGCCAGAAAAATGGTAAAATTCATAACTAAAGGGCAATAACTCCAATAAGGAGTCGTTGGACAATTTCTGCCATTTGTCTTCATTGTAGATTTTGTCTTGCTGATCATTTTTGTATATTTAAGTTTCTTTCTATCTATTATAAGTTTTAAGATATAAGACAAAAACGAAAAAAAAAATTGTACAAATCGGCATCAAAGGGAAATAACTAATAAGGAGTCAACTGATGATTTCAACCATAAGACTTATTTGAAGAACTTGTCCTTCTGATCATTTTTGCTATTTAAAGTTTCTCTCTATCTTTTATAGTTTTCAAGATATGATAATAGGTATAAATTGAAAAAAAGTGGTAAAATTTGCCATTGAAGGGCAATAACTCCTACAAGAAATTGTCTAACAGTTTTGACGTATATGGATAATTGGTAGAGCTCAACATTCTGAACAATTTTACTCTCCTCAGATTTCCTCTTTTTATAACGGTTATCAGAATAATAGACAAAACTTGCATTTTACCCCATATGTTCTATTTTTTGCCATCCCGGCCATCTTTGTTGGCAGGCAGGGTCATCGGACACATTTTTTAAACTGAATACCCTAATGATGATTGTGGCTAAGTTTGATTCTATTTGGCCCAGTAGTTTCAGAGGAGAAGATTTTTGTAAAAGATTACAAAAATGTACGAAAATTGTAAAAAATTGACTATAAAGGGCAATAACTCCTTAAGGGGTCAATTGACAATTTTGGTCATGTTGACTTATTTGTAGATCTTACTTTGCTTTACATTACTGCTGTTTACAGTTTAGTTTATCTCTATCTATAATAATATTCAAGATAATAACCAAAAGCTGCAAAATTTTCTTAAAATTACCAATTCAGGGGCAGCAACCCAACAACGTGTTGCCTGATTGGTCTGAAAATTTCAGGGCAGATAGATCTTGACCTACTGAACAAGTTTATCCCGTCAAATTTGCTCTAAATGCTTTGGTTTCAGAGATATGAACCAAAAACTGCATTTTACCCTATGTACTTTTTTTTAGCCATGTCTGCCATCTTGGTTCGTGGGCAGGGGCATTGGACACATTTTTTAAACAAGATAACCTAATGATGATGTGGACAAGTTTGGTTAAATTTGTCCTAGTAGTTTCAGAGGAGAAAATTTTTGTAAAAGATTACAAAAATTTACGAAAAATGGTTAAAAATTTACTATAAAGGGCAATTACTCCTTAAGGGGTCAACTGACCATTTTGGTCAAGTTGACTTATTTGTAGATATTACTTCCCTGAACATTATTCCTGTTTACAGTTTATCTGTATCTATAATAATATTCAAGATAATAACCAAAAACGGCAAAATTCCTTAAAATTACCAATTCAGGGGCAGCAACCCAACAACGGGTTGTCCCATTCATCTGAAAATTTCAGGGCAGATAGATCTTGACCTGATAAACAATTTTAACCCCAGTCAGATTTGCTCTAAATGCTTTGGTTTCAGAGATATAAGCCAAAATCTACATTTAACCCCTATGTTCTATTTTTAGCCATGGCGACCATCTTGGTTAGTTGGCCTGGTTACCGGACACATTTTTTAAATTAGATACCCCAATGATGATTGTGGCCAAGTTTGGTTAAATTTGGCCAAGTAGTTTCAGAGGAGAAGAGTTTTGTAAAAAGTTAACGGACGACGGACGCCAAGTGATGAGAAAAGCTCACTTGGCCCTGTGGGCCAGGTGAGCTAAAAATTGTTCTGTTAAAAAATTGTCAATAAAGGCTTTACTTTTATAATTTGTGACTTGGATGGAGAGTTGTCTCTTTGGCCCTCATACCACACCTTCTGAGTATCTATTAACAATTCTAACCTGCCATATATATAAAAAAATATAGTGTGTTTGTGATGACTGTCAATAACTTTCCGCTTTTTCTGCCAATGAGCAAATAAAATGCTCTGCTGGGCGCAGCTTGATACGACCGCAGAGGTAGAACCCTGAACAGTTGGGGCAAGTTTGGACACAACAATCAAGCTTGATACAGCACTGAATTTGGATAGTGATTAAATATTGACACAGCATAGGTATCTGAAACAGAATGAATGTGGTCTAAGAACATAAAATTTCTTAATTTACCTATTCAAACCATATCATTATTTTTTGCTTTTATATATAAATCAGAAATAAACAATTTAAAATGGAAAATTTTAAAGAAAAAAAAAGGAAAAAAAAATCCCTCCCCCAATTTTTTTGAACCCCCTTATGATTCATCACCCCCAAACTCAATCCCAGCCTTCCCTTTGTGGTATGGTACCTTGCAGTACAATTTCAGAGAGATCCATACACTTGAACACAAGTTATTGTCTGGAAACTAGAAAAATGCCTGTTTTTTGGCCCCAAATTCCTAAACGTTTTGGGCGATTACCCCCAAGCTCAATCCCAGCTTTCCCTTTGTGATATGGAACCTTGTAGTACAATTTCATAAAGATCCATACACTTACGCACAAGTTATTGTCCTGAAACTAGAAAAATGCTTGTATTTTGCCCCTTTTTCCTAAAATTTTGAGGCAATTACCCCCAAAATCAATCCCAGCCTTCCCTTTGTGGTATGGTACCTTGCAGTACAATTTCAGAGAGATCAATACTCTTGAACACAATTAATTTTCTGGAAACTAGAAAAATGCTTATTTTTTGCCCCTTTTTGGCCCCTTATTCCTAAACGTTTTGGGCGATTACCCCCAAACTCAATTCCAGCTTTCCCTTTGTGATATGGAACCTTGTAGTACAATTTCAGAAAGATCCATACACTTACACACAAGTTATTGTCATGAAACTAGAAAAATGCTTGTTTTTTGCCCCTTTTTTGGCCCCTAATTCCTAAAATTTTGAGGCAATTACCCCCAAAATCAACCCCAGCCTTCCCTTTTGATATGGAACCTTGTGGTACAATGTCAGAGAGATCCATACACTTACACACAAGTTATTGTCAGGAAACTAGAAAAATGCTTGTTTTTTTGCCCCTAACTCCTAAAATTTTGAGGCAATTACCCCCAAAATCAACCCCAGCATTCCCTTTATGATATGGAACCTTGTGGTACAATGTCAGAGAGATCCATACACTAAC